TAATTAGTAGTTACAGGACTTCGATCTAATTCAGTGACATACCTACTTAATTAGTAGTTATAGGACTTCGATCTAATTCAATGACATACCTACTTAATTAGTAGTTACAAAACTTTGATCTAATTCAGTGACATATCTACTTAATTAGTAGTTACAGGACTTCGATCTAATTCAGTGACATACCTACTTAATTAGTAGTTACAAAACTTTGATCTAATTCAGTGACATACCTACTTAATTACATTGTAGTTCGACTAATTCTAAGAATATTTCTATACCATCATTTCTACATTTTTATTTGAGTTATCTAACACTTACTGACATTTTGTTAAATGTTTCAAAAATAAACTAAATATATGTATATTTATGTCATGATTTTAAACACAAAGAGGATATAAGATAATAAAAATGAAGATATATGTTAAGCCTAGTCGTTGAATCCTCACAAAAAAACATTTTCATGACAAGATGCAAGAAAGAAAGTCTTAACACCTATATCATAGAATATGTGGGAATTTGAATTCTTACTAATATAAGGAACAATAGAACGAATGGCTAGGTTGACAAGAATAACAAATAATCATAGCTCCAGAGAATGATATAACAGGAAAATGGAAAGAAATGGTTAAGGTCGTTAACACTACTAAGTGTAAAAAGTCGTTTGGCTAATGCGTTGACCACTTTGATTTCAAAGATTCTTTCATAATTTAAGATTTTTTTAAAAAGCTGATTTCCGTTATGTTCATGTCACACCTAAGTTATAAATTTGTAACACTTATCATGAGAATATGATTTGCGTTGCAAAATTGTTTGTAGATTTCATTTCGAATAAACAAATAACTCATAAGTATTTATAACCAAAACTCAAAATTTCTGTTTATCCTGTAACTATAAGTGGTTTCAGAAACGTTCATTATTTTTAAATAAATGAAGGTTTCAGTGATATCTTGACTTTAAGTTTAAAGCGACAGTTTTGATATATCAAACAGTCTTGGATATCTGTATATTCACACAAGTTAGAAACATTTACTTACCGAGCAAAAACTTTGCCAATCTCATTTTTGAGCAGCTGTGTATATTAAAAGCTTTCAGGTTATGTTAAAGACTAAGCACTTTTTCCACTCTAAAGCTTCTGCCAAAACCTAAACTGTCACTCACTTTTAGAACTACGCGAAACAGGAGTAAAATGAGCAACGGTATTTTGATAAGCAATGCCGGATTTTCCATCAACAAAAAAATCAGAGGTGCACGCGTTTGAAACTGTTTACTTATGTCAGAGGAAATTCTATTAGTTTTTGAACAAGAAAAAATTACACTGTAATTAACTAACTATAAATCTCAGAGATATTTAAAAGAAATTGTACACATTTCTCGAAGCGTGGATAAATAAGATTTATCAGATGCTTACCTTAATTACAGGTTCTTAATAATTCTTCATACCATTGTATTTCACTAGTTGGTATTAGCAGAAGGGATTTTGGATTGATAGAATCAATGGGTGAGCGTATATATGTTGATAAGAGTAATTTATATACGAAACACTATACAGAAAAGAATAGATAGATTTTTAGAATACTACTTGTTAATCTAAAACCACACTAACATACCACACTAACATATATACATACATATACAAAGCTTTAAAAGTTCACGTACATGAAACAGACAAACTAACATGATAAAAGGTCACGTACATGAAACACAGACAAATAAACATGATAAAAGGTCACGTACATGAAACACAGACAAACTAACATGATAAAAATTCACGTACATGAAACGCAGGATATCCGGAGTGTAATATCAAACGGTATTTTTCTCGGGTATCAGATATTTCAGGTGGAAGAGGCAAAATCACCTGCCGTAGTCGTAATTCATTGTTTTAATTGTCAGCGTAACGGTACGTCGCAGTACGATGTGGTGTAGACCACCATAATTCATTTTGTCCAAAAGAACATGAAAACCCTATGTGCTGTAATTGTAAACAACAACACACCGTGAATTACAAAAGATGTGCAAAATATAAGGACATCAAAACGAGAATTTACAACATACACCATAACATCAAAAGCACAGAATACACAATACTTGTAAATAAATCACGAACAAAAATCAAACACAAAAACACCACTTCTGTCGACACCAATAGCACAGCCCACAACTTCATTTACACAGTCTACACCTTCATTTACTTATGCAACAGCAGTACGTTTGCAATCACACACTAAACAAGCATATATAATCCAAATAAACAAACAATCACAATTGAAAATAACTACTGAACAACAATTTAACGTAACTAGAAATCACACAAATATTCAACCAACAAATATCCAGCACTCAGACATACCAAAAACATCAGTAACATTTCCTACAAATACAGAAACAACCCTATAATATAAGCAGTCAAAAACACATTTATCGATTTCATCAGAGAATATCAAAATCAGCAGTACATCATTACTCTACTTATCGAAATAGCTAAGAAAACATTTCACACCTATAATTACTTACATGATTCACACATTCCCGAACTTTCTCCTCACCTAAAAATTCAAGACACAATACAAAAATACCCGGGTATAGTACAAACAAGTCACCTTTAACCAGATCTTACCATATCACCTGGATTAAGGTATCAAAGGTGTATTTATGTGAATTACGCATCTGATGAACTGGTCTACGAAAAGTAACATTTGTCAGTGAACTGTGTGTGGACTATTATGCGATCAAACTAACTGAAGTGGTGAATACAACTAAATGCTATAAGTTTAAAATTCATGGACATGACCCTGAATAGGGTAAAAGGATTAGTGTAATTAATCTTAATATTTATGCGCTAATCTCGTGAATTAATCGTGTAGCATTTGTTAGTTAACAAAATAGGTATAGAAAGCACTTGACCCTTTCAACAACACAACCAAACAGATTTCTTACTTTGATCCATTTTTCCAATAAACCGCCGATTGGCTTACTTAGATTTTCAATATTAAAAAACAGTAAACGTTATTTTTTTTATCATGAAGACATTTTCAGTGAATATTTTCTGTGTAGAAGACAGTCACTTTTGGGGTGTAGATGTTCTGACTAAGACAAAAGTCAATCTACATAATGATTATGTTTCAAAGTTCAGCTACGATCATCGAACCATTGACTTTATAAATGTTATGCAGTCTCTGCGGTATACATGCAGCTAAACTTACATCTCTTGTATCATAAGTTGCTTTGTGTAACAGTATTGTTCTGATCATGTATACCATAGTCAAGAAACATAATATTAATTACTTGCGAATTGCTATGTTTTCTGATTATATTAAGTTTTAAATGTAAAAAGTTTAATACACAAGAATATTTTAAACAGTTTTAATTCTAATGCTGTTATTTTACTGTGATAATTGCATACCCTAAGAAACGTTTCGGTAATTTTATATATTTCAGATAATTAAAACTGTCGTTCTATTGTTCCGAAATCAAGAGCAGAGTGTATTTGTTATTATATCACACCCTCTTAACTTCTTGTTGGGGTCTATAAAATAACAATGAAGTAAATTTCATTTTGAAAATAGTGTTTCAGGGAATATGTATTTTTGTCATTGTTAAGGAAGTTTCATGGATACAGAAGACAAGATGGGCGTTACAGAAGAACCCGGATCCAAAGTACAAACCAAGATGATTCCCATCGTTGTAGCTTTGGGTATAATGTTTGTCGGTATATGTGTGGCAATGCATTTATTCAGCAAGTAAGTCTTTCACTTTTGACTCATGAAACATGAATTTATCTTCAGTGTTGCTTCTTTTTTTTTTTTTGCATACATATAGAAAAAATTGCAAAATCATACGAAAAAACATCTTTCATCAGTTTTGTAAAACTTGTCCATTGGACCAATAAGATATACACAGTTGTTTTAATGTCTCCATTATTAATTTCAAAAATTTCGATTACATTTTCCACTTAAACAGAGAAACCGATCTTGATCTCCCTGAAGTACCTCGAGTTTCATTAAACCTTCAAATAAGTAGGTAGAGAGACAGACTTGATATTTTTGCGAAATTCTGTGTAAGTTTAAGTTTTATTTTACCTCGTGGCTTTAAAACCAAAAGTGAATAAATATTCAGATACATCTAGGCTTCTCTGTGGTTAAGTTTTCTAAATAGATAAGGATGATAAGTTAGAATTACTGATGGTGCTCAAGTAATTGGTGGATACAATTTTGGAATTGTTGCGTACAAAACCATTATCGAAGCACAGATTGAAATATTATGTTTATACGTTCTAAAAAATTGTATTACAGAAACAGTTAATTTAAAAATATATTTATTTTTGCTACGAAATGTTCACTTTAGTAATGAGATTTTGGAAACTACGCGGTCCTTTTATAGTCCTGATGATAGTAGATCTAAGTTACTTTCTTATTTATCTTTTCTTGATAGAGCCCGATTCCGGAACCAAAGGACTATCTTCAATTCACCTCACCCTCGTCTGATGCACATCAGGGTTAGCCGAAATCAGAAAAGCGGCAAGCGACGCACGAGCCTTCAGGTTACCGACTGTCGTCAGCTTAGTAGTATGAGCTCTCAACCTTCCCTTCACTCCTCACGTTCTGGTAAAGCATCCTTGTCTAAACCTATTAGTTGCTATTTTGATATACTTTTACATATATAAGAGAAGTGGTATATTGTCTACCAATACTCTTCATTTTTCCTCCCATTTGGCTACAATTCTTGATTTACACAGTGTAATATTCCATCCTTTCCTTATATTATCGACAGACAGTAGTTTGTAAAGCCTAAGAGAAAGGAAAAAAAAACACAATCGAGAATTATGTAAAGATACAAATCGTGCATGAAGTCGTAGCTAATTTAATAAGAGTTAAAGTTATCGAACATTTATAAGATATATGTTTTATGACTTTAGTATATTTATATGACTAACATTTATAATGAATGCAACATATCATTCAAATTAATAATCATAATAATAACATATTGTAGTTGGCCTGATTTCAGACGAAAAATACAGCAAGATAAAGTAATATGTTTAGCTTGCTTTAAGGTGAAAAATGCAGTAAAATAATTTAAGCATAGTTAGGAACTCTCGGATTTGGTTGACCTTGCAAATATTTATATATTACATTGCTTATCTATAACTTAATATACTTAAACATAGCATTTTCAATAGTGATAAAAAAAATTTAACTTAGTTCCGTTATTATTTTTGAAAGTTAAAATATCAAAATGCATACAATTTTGTATGTAAGCAATTTGAATAAAATAGTAACGATGCGTAAGTGCTGGAATCTTATTTATTGTACTTAATAATAAAGCTTGTACTTTTAAGTTACTTAATTTTAATTTGATGATTTGGCCAAAGAAGGATTTTACATGGGATGAACTAAATGATGAGAACATTGGAGATGAAATATAAAGAATACTAAGAACAATAAACTTTAAACAAACTAGAAAAGCCAATCTAATGTCTTCCCCGAACACCTTGTTCAATGGGATTTTCAAAATACACCAGAATGCAAGAGAAAGAGAATGGTATTCAAGATAGTAGAAGGGACATAAATTAAACATATCTACTTCAAAGACAGACACTTAACACATTATCAACTTGAGACTTCTTCGTGAGAAACTTGTTTTGGAGCATAATCAACTGTGACCTTATCATACTTAGGACAATTAATTTCTGCGTTAGTAAATTTATTCACAATAACAAAAACATGACAGGTACTTTTTGGGCCAATATGATTTATTCTTCGACACGGTATATGCAATTCCATGCATTGTATGAGCCAAAACCCTATTTATAATGGCCCCTTCTAATGTTTACATATACAGAACACATTGCGATTTTACTACCTTTGATCTCTGTGATATCAAAGTACAAATACCGAAAATGTTACTTTCAGTCGTGAGTTTTTCATAAGGTATCTTTTTTAGCAAAGTCTCCTATCGATTGGTCTAAATATAGGGGAATGGCAGGCCAAAAACCCTAATTCTGCTACCTAACTTTCCGGAAGCTCATAGACAAGAAACTCCCTAAGTGTCATAAATGTAAAAAGGAGTTTAATAATACACTCATTAAAGGATGCTAAACAGAGATTAAATCACCCAGTTTGTTCTACACTCAAGTTATTTACATATCGTGTTCCTTCGTGTGAGGAGGTTATTTTTCTACTGCCAAGTTAAATTTAATAAGAAATTGGAAGCCAGTGGGAAAAGCTTGATTGAACTAGGCCTATTTTAATGCAATATTTTTTAATTATATAAATAATGTGCGTACTTGAAATGTTTTGATTTGGAAATCGTACATGTGAGTTTGTTAAAAGGAAAACTCCATTTTATTTTTTCGAGTCATTCATTTCTCATTTTCGTGGTCGAAACCATCTTTGTTTCGTGACTTTTGAACAAGCAACCGTCGAAGCACAAGTAAAAACAAAATGATGTAATACCTGTTAAATACTGTCAATGTGTTATAATTATTTTCCCCGAGAAAGCAGTACTCGTTGCAATGGAGAATAGTTCATTAATTCTTCGGAAGTGAATATTACATTATAGTTTTTATTTTTAGAAACTCAACAAGAAAGTCAAGATCCTCTCAACTATTCAAACAAGAGCACCGGAAGCAGCGTAGTTGGTACCCCAACATCGCTACCATTGTCTTCTTTCGATGACGCCAACGCAGTCAAAAAGGTGTTGTATAAGATTTCATGTAATAAAAAAAAATTAAAATTCAATATAGAAATTCGCGTTTTTATCTTCAAGATCTATTTTTAAGTTTGTCTATCATGTATTTTTCTTATGTTGCATCTCAAGTATAGCTTCATAAAATTGAACAATTATATCTTATTGAATTTTCAGCAGTATTTATTGTGTTTTCTTTTTAAGTAAGATAGCATTTTATTAGCTGTAAAAGAACAAGAAGCTGACAGGTATTCAGCAACGACAGTATTCTGTTTTTGTTCGGTCAGTAATATCTCTATTCTACTTGATTCTATACTGCATGCAAAACATTTGGTTTGACCTTTATAGTGAACCAAAAACAATCAAGACTAGTGTAATAAATAATGCAGACAGGGATAATTATAGTTTATTATTGATTGTTTTGTGTGCAGACATTTCTTAATAAATACTAGCTTAAAAGGTTTCATTTCAATTTTATATCTAATTAAATGTTCTGTATATTCGGACTGTAATATAGCATATCTGTTATTTAGTGATATGTGTCTTCATACGCGGGCTTAGACCTTCAGTAAAGAAAATATATGTGTGCTAGGTAGTTATATTGACTAGTATTAAATACGTACGCTCCACTGTCCACTTGAGAGGCCCCTTATGATTTACAAAGGCCTCAGTGTACGGATCACATCAAGCTCCTCCATTATCCTTAATTATTTATATAGCTATCCCAAGAAGGGTCCCTACCCGAACAAAAATCACGTTAGGGCCGTGAGCAAGCACTTGTGCCAAGTTTAATCCCGCTAACTTCTGAGTGAGGGTCTCAAACATGAAACACCCGGGATGCAGAGGGAGGTGCGCAGAAACACAAAATCTGATGCCAGATTCAGGTTAAGCGACCTTGAACACCCACTCTTGGGTGACTTTCGGGGTGCGTTTTAGCCCTCTTGGTAGGGAGTTACTTCATATAAATAAAGAAACCCCTGGTCACTCATGGCGAATTTTAGCCCTGATATGTTTAAAGCTGTGGTACGATTTCGTGGACAAACAAATGCACAACGTGAATTAGCATAGGATAATTTATTTAGGATACAAGGAAAGTTGGTATTTAAGCTAGTTCTGGGTAAGTTCATACCATGTGTTAACATATACAAGTTAGTATAGAAGTGAGAAATTTATTTTTTCTAATTTCATCTGCTGTTGTTGTTTGGAGACAGAACCAGCAGGGAGTTTTTAAACTTGTTTCGAATTACACTTGCTCGTTACTCATTTATTTTGTGCGTGATTGGGTAGCTGGACTTCTTGGACTGCTAACACTATACTTGAACCGTAAACTGATGTTTAACTCTAAATTATATTATAATACTTCTACAATTTTTTTTTTCTGGTCAGGGGTCAGTTAGGAGGACCAAGGCGGACGTAGAGCCGCTCACATTAAGCTACACAGTTGTGCCTAGCGGACCAAGCTCACCCACGATTATCATTTCGAACAAGAAAAGTACCACCTTTACTGCATAAGCCCATTCGACCAAAACCGAGTCTGAAAAGAGAAGATTTTTTCCAAATTGTATATAACGCTATCAAGATTTCTACTAGCATTTTATGATTCAATTTAAAGATGATCTTCAGTCAACCAGACCCCTTTACAAGTTACCATTGTGAGATACAGGTTGGAAAAAAACTGTTATAAACTTTTTATTTGTAACCGTGCAGTGTCTCATCACTTTAGACACGTATACTAAACAAATCATGTGCAATATTAAATACCGTGCAGTGTCTCATCACTTTAGACACGTATACTAAACAAATCATGTGCAATATTAAATAAATGTTATAATCTACTCACTAGGTAGGATTATGTATGAAAAACATTTTTTTTAATGTCGTATTTTAGGCTATTTATATCTTATGTACTTTTCACTTAATCCATTTGAAACAATAGTAATATTATATGTAACCTTACGAACTACTAATGTTTCTACCATTAGGTATTTATTTCTTATTTGGCGAGTTGGCCCATTATCTTTTCTCTACCAACACTGCTTGTTATTTTCAATTAATCGGTTTGAATAAAAATTACATAAACTTCACAAATACATCGGAAATAATTTTATAAATGAAAACCTTTTACTCCTCGATGGCTCAGCGGTAAGTCTGAGGAGTTATAACGCTAAAAATCTGGTTTCCATGCCCACAGTGGGTAGAGTATACATAGTCTATTGTGCAGTTTTGTGCTTAGCAAAAAGGTATGAAAGAGAAAGGAAGAAACCCGTTTTCTTGAAAAATTAGTATATATTACTCATAACTTCATGTTTAATATATTTAAGTAAATAATAACAATAGATACAGGAGAAGTAGCGTTTCTCCAGATTTGCAAATTGCTGAACAATCTTAAGATAAATTTACTTTTAAAGTTGTGAAAATTTTTGCCGTGGTCTTCTTGAAACAAGAGTAGATATTGTAATTTTTGCACTACAACCTTTCAGCACCTTCGCCGAAGCTTTCCAAGGTATGCCTGTAGAGGGCTCTGGCCAAGGAGCCGAATATTTGAAATGAAAAAAAATTAAAACTGTTTTGTAAATGTTGAAAATTTTCCAAAAAGTAGATCATACTTGTTTTTATACACTTACGTGGTTTTGTAGGCAAATAAGCTCTATAATACACTCTCAAACAGATACATGCACGTATTTATATATATATAAATGTGTGCGTGTATATACGCATACGTACAGGTATACTTGTATTGAGTGTCCTGTTAGTTTGTCTGTGTTTCATGTACGTGAATTTTATCATGTTAGTTTGTCTGTTTCACGTACGTGAACTTTTACCATGTTAGTATATCTGTGTTTCATGTACGTGAACTTTATTATGTTAGTATGTCTGTGCTTCATGTACGTGAACTTTATTATGTTAGTTTGTCTGTGTTTCATGTACGTGAACTTTATCATGTTAGTTTGTCTGTGTTTCATGTACGTGACTTTATTATGTTAGTATGTCTGTGCTTCATGTACGTGAACTTTATTATGTTAGTTTGTCTGTGTTTCATGTATGTGACCTTTTATCATGTTAGTTTGTCTGTGTTTCATGTACGTGACCTTTTATTATGTTAGTTTGTCTGTGTTTCATGTACGTGAAGTTTATCATGTTAGTTTGTCTGTGT